CTCCGGGAAAACCACCTTCGTGCAGGTGAGGGGCGGCTGGGGGTCTGTGGGGAGCCGCTGGTTTCCCCAGCGCTACCCCCATGTCTAGCGGGGCCTGACGCCTCCTCGTGTCCCCTTAGCGACTCGCGGCCCACCTGCATGGGCAACGCTGCCCTCCGTACGTGATCAACCTGGACCCTGCCGTGCATGACCTGCCCTTCCCCGCCAACATCGGTGAGTCCTGTCTCTCTGCCTTGACCGCTGGCTGTGGCGAGTGATGGGCAGCGTGAGAGAGGGGGTGGTCCCGCACCAGAGGTGTGGCGTGTTTGTGGAGTCCACCAGAAGAAGCCAAGTATGTTTTGATGTAAATAAAACCATTTTTGGTATACTGCTTTTCATATGTTTTGTGGAAGCAGGGGGCGGAGGGGGCGGGGTATGTGAGGTATTTGGATAGATTGCTTATGTTATTTTTAAAACATTCCGAGCCCTAACACTAGAAGGACTTCTAAGATTTTTATTGTGGGTTTTTTTTTTTTTTAACTCCTTTCTCCGACCAGGCTTTAACATTTGAATTTTTAGGACCAAAGGCATTCTTCCATTGTGTTTATACATTTTTTTACATCATGTGGTGTGATTTGATGTGTTTGGGGTCTAGTGTGGTGTTTTTTGTGTTTTGTTTTTTTTTTTTCTTTGTCAGTGTGCTGGGTTTGGCTGCAATAAAGTTAATTTTCTTCATAGTAGCTAGTATGAGGTTTGAATATGGTTTGGATTTATGCTGAAAACAACGTTGATGATACATATTAGCAGATTTAATCTGGTTCCCTACGTCCGGAACAGTGGTAACCATATATGCTACCAGATAACTGCTTTAAAGCATGTTAAAAGACATGAATTTTAGAGAAAATACCTCAACAATGAAACAGACCTTATACTCAGCTGTGCCAAAGGGCTTACTGATCATTAGGTTTGTGAGAGTCCTGTCTCTTATTAAACTTTCTAAAATTTGTCAGCCTGTCTCTCCAGAGGATAAGAAAGGCAGTGTGGATACGAAAGTTGTTTTATTGATGTCAGATGAATAATTAGAGTATCTATTCCAGTGCTGGATCCCTAATAATATATTTACATATGTATACTTTGTTAACTGATGTTGATCAGCTGAAAATAAAATTCAGCTGAAGTGGTTACTGCTAAATTGGTGGTGTTTCACGTGAATTACATTAGGTTTCATATGTATGTTGAGAGCATAGCTAATCTATTTAGATTTTATTTATTCTACTTGCGTGATTTTTCCGGTTGGTGCTAGGTCTATAACTGAGACGAAAGGAGACTTTGTAGGAAAAGAAGGACTTTCACCTATCAGCGAATTGATGAAGAAGGATATTTTAGAAGTGATGTCCTAAAACTATTTATATGTCTTTCTCCGTTAGATATCAGGGACACTGTGAAGTATAAAGAAGTCATGAAGCAGTATCCTTTTTTTGCCTAAATAACGATATTTGAAATCTCAGGTTTTGTGAAAATCGTCTGTCACTTCTGCACACTACGATGAAGGGGGCAGGAGGTGTTGGGGATTGCAGTAATGCAGAATGTTGCATGAAGATGAGAAGTTTTTGACTATGTATTTGTTGCATGTGAGGTTAGAAATGTATGATTTGATACTCTTAGGTCATTTTCTCCTGTGCTAAAAGTGATTCTGCCTAATAGTACGTTTTTACAAATGATAGGCACTCTGCCACATTTTTTTTTCCCTATTGTTTTTTTGAAGAGCTTGTATCTTTCTTTGTGGAAACCAGCAGCCTTTTCCTGTGTTTTAACAAGTCTAATTTTATTTGTTATAAATAAATATGCAAATATCTATTTGCCTTTAGTAGGTGGAGAAAACTATTTCCACATTGTTTGACCATAATCAAATCACTGTTGTCTTTCTGAATCTCAAAGACATTGGACTGTTGGCTCTTGCTGCAAAGTAGTTTGATGACTGTAGTTCAGAAACATTACACTAAAATGACTGCACTTCCAGAGGGGTATGGAGGTCCTTTGTCTCCTAAGTAATAGCTTGTGCAGATGGAGATAATATACGGCGTTTGGATTTGACTTGCTACTGTGACTCTTAAATGTAATATTTTAGACAAAAATAAAGATGGTGGGGGATAGGATTCTTGATTTTGGCTGTTGTTTGATTTGCAGTTACCAGCAAAACATCCTAAGTTTCAGTTTGGTATGTAGGTGCATTGTTTGCTTTACTGTGCCTGTTAGCCATTACTGGAGTTTAAGCATCTCATTAAATAGTGCTTAAGGAGAGTGTCTGTCCTCATGATTGGATTTTGAGAGTAGTGGCCCTAGAAGACAGTATGTACTGAGAATCAGTGCTGGTTCTTAATGCAGTTAAAAAAAAAAAAAGATAGTTTCTTTGAACATAATTAGTATACAGATCTGTATGCATGAAAAAGAGTTTTGAAATCTTCATCTTTAAACTGACACTTTGAGTATCTTTACAACATTCATTCCCTCTATCATTTAAATTCTGCTAAAAATTAATTTGTACAAGAAATCTTTTAATTATCTTTTAAAGTATAAATTCTTAAAATTAAGCGCATTCAGGGCATTGTTAAATTTTGAGTTACTGACTGTGTTGTAAACCTTTTTGGAAAGACAAAGATGGCTTTGATGTATACACAGACATATATTTTCTCTTTGTCCAGAATGGTAATACTTGAACAATGGCAAGGGGAAGCCATGGCATAGCCCCTTTCCCTTTTGTCAGTCACATGTTTGGGCAAGAGAGAGACCATTTTGCATTTGTTATGCTACTGCATCACTTAGAAGACTTAATTTTGTATTAGGGGTATTGTCTTTTGCTTGCAAGGTATCTGACGCGCATTGTACATGGCCAACTCTTATCAATATTGAAAAAGAAGCCCTCTGAGGTCTGCATAATCATCTGCTTTCCTAAATGAAGTGTCTAGATATGGGCTGGGCCCAAATGGTGGAATAGTGACCGCTCTCAATCTCTTTGCTACAAGATTTGATCAGGTATGAGGTTGTGCCTGTGTGATACTGCGCTATGAATACTGTGCTGGGAGACTGTGGGGCTTTTTGTGTATTTGGAGTCTCTGAGAGCACTGTGCTTGGTTAGCCTCCTAGTATTTCTTTGGAGTTAGAATATTCTCCATGCAGAACAATGTATTTTACAAAGCAGCCAAAGTACATTAACTTTCATTTGAGAGATTTCAGGTTTTCAGCTTTTTAAAAGTAAAATTTAGAAGCCATGTGTCCAAATCATTCTTTAGTCTTTGTACATAATTGTTCTGTTGCACTATGTTCACTGTAAAATCTTTCATATGAATGCTCTGATTTTGAAGTAGGGAAGCTCACTTCTGGAAACCGATTAAGTTTTCCTAGGATTATTTGATAGTTGACTGCTCTCTTAAATCATAATGCTGAATCAGTGCTGGGGTGGGAACTTGTGCAAGATACTGAGACAGTGCACCATCTCTTAGTAAAAAGGTAGGGAACAACTACATTTGTTATACCATTTCTTTAGCCAGGTACTAGAATGCAGACAAACTCAAGGTTTTCTTGACCTGTGCAATGTCTGAGCATTTTCTGCCCTTCCTTAGTAGGGCATTTTCACACATTGAAAAGCTTAGAGACTTGAGTTTTCTTTTGATGCATACATGGAGCTGTGCAATTTCATGTAGTTTCTGTTACAAAACAATTACGAAAGTTTCCAGTTGTGAGCCTAAATACAAAGTATATTCCTTCTTTTCAATCAGGTCATGAAGTTTATTGAAAAAAGACAAAATGCTTCCAGGTGAGTACATTCTACCAAGTTCTACTTTTCTGGGATCAGTGTGGGAAAACCGTGTAAAATCCTAAAAAGGTTCTCTGCATGTTTTCTAGGTGTTTTTAAGCCTTGGTATAAATTTTATGTGGAAAAGGATAGAATTAGAACAGCTAAACTAGACTGTCTTTGGATACATCAAAGAAATGTCTGCTGATTCCAGTTCTGCTTTTCTTGTCTTCCGTTAGACTGTAATTTTTTCTCACACACTGTTCAAACAGGCAACAGTTAATTCTTCTGAAGACTTTGCAGTACTAAATGTCTGTCAAATTGATGCCTTCAACTTTAATATAATCTGAAGAGAGTACGTGCTTCTTAGTTAAAAATTCACACAGGAAAATTTTCAGGCATGCTCATAAAACTTGTCACTGTTTGGGAGAAGCTTTTCTGATCTGTAACAGGATAATTATGTGGTTTGCCATTATGTGCTTGTGGTAATCTAGTCAGAACAGGACCTTGTGCTTAACTAATTTTCCCTTATTGTTTGTTGGGGCGGACTTCTTACCAGGTATGTTATTATTGACACACCAGGGCAAATTGAAGTATTCACCTGGTCAGCATCAGGAACCATCATAACTGAAGCCTTGGTAAGTGTTTTCTACATGACTTGACAGTGAGGCTGTGTGAAATAAGTGACTGTTGAACAGCATGTATTTCTAATTAAAGTATCCTTTGCTTTGTCTTTCCAGGCTTCCTCTTTTCCCTCAGTTGTTGTTTATGTGATGGATACCTCTCGCAGTACTAACCCTATCACCTTTATGTCCAACATGCTGTATGCTTGCAGGTAAGAAAACCTGAAAATGCAGTCTGTCTGCTTTCATTGCTGTGTCTCTTTGATACTTATTTTGGAGAGGAATCATAGAATGGTTTGGGTTGGAAGAGAGCTTTAAAGATCATCCAGCCTACCCCCTTCCATCTTTCGCTAGATCAGGTTGCCGAAAGCCCTGTCCAACCTGACCTTGAACACTTCCAATGACTGGGCATCCGGGCGGACTTCTTACCAGGTATGTTATTATTGACACACCAGGGCAAATTGAAGTATTCACCTGGTCAGCATCAGGAACCATCATAACTGAAGCCTTGGTAAGTGTTTTCTACATGACTTGACAGTGAGGCTGTGTGAAATAAGTGACTGTTGAACAGCATGTATTTCTAATTAAAGTATCCTTTGCTTTGTCTTTCCAGGCTTCCTCTTTTCCCTCAGTTGTTGTTTATGTGATGGATACCTCTCGCAGTACTAACCCTATCACCTTTATGTCCAACATGCTGTATGCTTGCAGGTAAGAAAACCTGAAAATGCAGTCTGTCTGCTTTCATTGCTGTGTCTCTTTGATACTTATTTTGGAGAGGAATCATAGAATGGTTTGGGTTGGAAGAGAGCTTTAAAGATCATCCAGCCTACCCCCTTCCATCTTTCGCTAGATCAGGTTGCCGAAAGCCCTGTCCAACCTGACCTTGAACACTTCCAATGACTGGGCATCCACAGCTTCTCTGGGCAACCTGCTCCAATGTCTTGACACCGTCATAAAAAATTTCTTCCTTATGTCCAATCTAAATCTACCCTCTTTCAGTTTAAAACCGTTGTCCTTTGTCCTGTCACTCCAGGCCTTGGTAAAAAGTGTCTGTCTTTCTCATAAGCCCCCTTTAAATACTGAAAGACTGCAAGATCTCTCTGAAGCTTTCTCTTCTCCGTGCTGAACAACCTCAACTCTCTCAGCCTTTCGTCATAGGAGAGGCGTTCCAATCCTCTGATTGTTTTCATGGCCATTCTCTGAACCCTCTCCAACAGGTCCATGTCTGTTTTGTACTGTGGACCCCAGAGCTGGATGCAGTGATCCAGACGGGGTCTCATGAGAGCGGAATAAAGGGGCAGAAACACCTCCCTCAACCTGCTGGCCATGCTTCTTTTGATACAGCCCAGGATATGATCGGCTTTCTGGGCTGCAAGTGCACGTAGATACCTCATATCCTCTTAATCTGCTCTTTTGGTTATTCTCTGTATTAGTGGTTTTCCCATTTGATAAGCAAAATAATTTAGGTGCCAGTGGGCATCTGGAAGTCATTGGGCCAAAACTCCCACTGAAAGCATTAAATAATCCATGAGACCTTAGTGTGATGAAGGCTAGTTACATCAGATCTAACACATTGCATGTTGCTTATAAAATCACTTATCTAAGATGTATCAAGATAGCCTAGTTTAAGCTCCTTATTGAAAACACATAATATTCTATTCTATTTTTAATATTATTGGTACTTTCAGTGATTCTTCAAGATTTGTTTGGAGCTCAGCATAGCATGGAGTTCTTGATTTATTGTCTTCTTCCTCGTACATGGATTTATCTGTTTTCTTTCACGTTAAACCAGGGACTAAATACCTATGTAAAGACCAACATATCTAGAGCTATCATAATTCATGGTAAATGTTGGTAAAAGGTTTTCAAAAAACCTATCAATCCCTGTACCAAGGTGAAAAACGTGTCTTATTTCATCCTGCATTTTCTGACATTAGTGTTGAGCAAAAGATGGTAGAATATAAACAGTGAAATGAAAATGTGAGCTCATGTTTCAAGGTAGTTTTGTTTTGTAGATGTTTTGAATTATTTGAATTCATTGCTCAGTTTAGAAATAATATCTCCAAACCAAGGTTTGAGTCAAAATAATTAGAAAATGCAAAGAGAGTTAAAAACTGGGATCTGAGAGTCATAGAAAATAGTAATCAAAATTAACTGAGTGTGTAGAAGGAGATTTTATGTCTTACAAATGTGCACTTACATCTTGGGGGGAGGCATATTTTGTTCAACAATGGTAAGCAGGATCTGGGTGGAAATTACATTCTAATTGATGTGGAGGAAAATAATTATCTTTTGAAGTAAAATGTATTCAGTTTTGTTCAAGTCTTGTCTGCCTTATGCTTAACTTGTTTTCTATTCTAATGGGATTTATTAATGTGGTTTTTTTTTGTTTCCCCCCAGTATCCTGTACAAGACAAAGCTACCTTTCATTGTTGTCATGAACAAAGTAAGTTAAAGCTATGGTTTCTACGTCCTAGTGGAACATTGTTCTGTTCAGCTTACTTTGTTGTAGTGTCTTTGTCTTAGTACAATGATAGCTTTTCTAGAAAAGAGGCTGGGAGGGAGCTGCAAGCTGAAAACTGAATCTAAAAGGGGTCTTTAATCTGGTATACAAATGCACAAGAAGAATCAGGGATGAGCAGTTACACCCAAACATTCAAGTTAGAGATGATACTAACAATTTGGAAAATGTTTTGCATGTTAACCCTAGGCTGTAAGGAAACTTAGCTTTGTAATGTAAGGGTAAGTTCATTACTGAATCAGCTCTTACAGTCCCTTGTTTCCTCGAAACAATTGTCTTAATCATTAATTATTTCTACTCAGCAGCAGGCTGATGACTTACAGTGGGAATTGTGTGACACCTGCCTGTTTTGAGGAGAGAGTCCAATGTATTGTAGGAGGCAAAACTTAACAAAAGGCATTTGGTCCTGATCAATGACAGTAAAAATATGCCAGTATTTGCCAGAAATCAGATACTTATTAGCCTAAGGATACACCTTCAGTGTTGTGTAAGGTACTTGTATCCTTAAAGGAATGCTTTTGAACTCAAGAGCTAGCTGGCTCTTTAAACATAACAATTTCATGTATTAAAAGAATCCCGTTAGATTTTTGGTGTAAGTACTCTTCCTTTTCCCCACAGACATCCTTTGTGTTCAAGGAATTGCTCCCCAACATAAAAAGCTTTGCGTGTGTGCGCATGTATATCCCATACGCTTCCTCTAGAAAACACATGCTTTGAATGTGAAATTTTACCTCGCACCAGCTGAGTAGGGTTAGCGTCTGACGTACTCCAACTACACACATCTTCCCAGTGACCCAAACCATGCATGTCTTTGATACCTGCTTGCTTACTGAGCAGATTTTCATACACTGTTTTCTTTTTAATTCTAGACAGTTATTTTAGATTAAGCTATTAAGCTTTTTCTGTAGAAAAAGGCATGTGGTAGGAAAATCATTCTCTCTTAAGAAAATACATTTTTTGAAAGATGGAAAGAAATGGGACTTCATCAGTATATGTAAGGAAAGGTAGGCCCAAGGCTTAGGATTCATAACTTTAAACTTCATTTTGATGTGAAGTTTAGCCTTCGGTAAAAAGTAAAGCCAACAGCATTTGAAGAATTTTTAATGAGTATTTTAAAATGGACTCTTGATAAGGATGGAAGAATCCCAAGGAACTGATATATGTGCCGTGACAAACACATAGATTTACTGAATGTTAAGATTTGCAAAGGAAAAAACAAAGTAATTTGTAGAGTTGATTTAATTTTATTTATAGAATTTAATCAAGCTAAGTCTAAATAGTCAGGCTTTGACCCTTGGTGGATTCAGTTCTGTTTCAGATCTCTTGAGGAATGCTAGGCAATACTTGATCTATTTGTTTCATTCCCATTGGTGCTGGGAAATGAAATATATCAGAGTTTCAGACATCTCATATTGTGATAATAGTGGATATACATGGGGTAAGATATGTTTATAAAACTCTTTAATAGACTATTTGCATACTAATCCATGTAAAATTATGGAATCATCTCAGTTGTTTGTGTCCATCGTCTTGCACCGAGTTTAGACTATAACTTCTTCAGGTTGGAGCACAGTTCGCTTTTTATAAAAATCCTGTAGGCTGTTACCCAATGTGGAAATGGCTCTCTCTCTCCCCTGACCCCCAAGCCAATCAAGAAAGCATGGGATCTTTAATGAGGACTGTTCTTATCTGACCTCAATCATACAATCTAATATTTACAACTTAAACTTTCTTGACATTATGCAATTTTTGGATTCCCCTTCCCAATAAACCATAGAAGCCTTTAGACTTGCAATTGTTTCCTTAAATATGCCTTCTTAAAACTGGGATAGTGGTTGTTTGTCTTCTCTTCCTGTATTCAAGTAGTTGGTTTGATAAAAACAGAGCTTGCAAAACTTCAGACTAGGGCTGAATATTTTGAAAAGATCAGCATTTTGAAAGTAAGTTTAAAATGGTGTCACCATTTAAGGCTAGGCCAGCACTTAAAGCAGACACCAGATGCTCACTATTAACCCCTACGCCCCCCCCCCCGCCCCCTTGGAGGGAAGGAGTGGAGGAGAGGGAGAGACACTTAATGGGTTGGAAATTAAAACTACTTTAACAAAACACTTAACAGCCTCAGGCTAAAAATTCATCGTTATTACTTCTGAAAATTTTCTCTTCTCCTTCTAGACAGACATAATTGACCACAGTTTTGCAGTAGAATGGATGCAGGACTTTGAGACTTTTCAGGATGCCCTGAATCAAGAGACATCCTATGTTAGTAACCTGACTCGTTCTATGAGTTTAGTGTTGGATGAATTTTATAGTTCACTGAAGGTAAGAATCTTCCGGTTTTTTACTACGTCTCATAAAAGCCTAGAGAAGAGAAAGCTCAAAGAGGATATTATTCATGTGTTTAAATACCTGATGGGAGGATGTGAGGAAGACAGAGGCAGGCTCTTTTCAGTGGTGCCCAGTGAAAGGACAAGAGGCGATAGACATGAAGTAAAATAAAGGAAACTATGTTTCAACGGAAGAAAAAAGAATTACTGTAATTATACTGATTGAGCACTGGAACAGGTGGTCCAGAGAAATTGTGGAGTCTCCATCCTTGGAGATACTCAAAATACACTCGGACAAGATCTTGAGCAACCTGTTCTAGTTAATTGTGCTTTTGGAGCAGGAGAGGTTGGACTAGATGATCTCCGGAGGTACCTTCCAACCTCAGCCATTCTGACCTTCTGTAAAAGAGCTTTGCACTGCCCTTTTGAGCTGCAATCTGTTGATGAACCTTGCATTGGAGGCAAGAATTTCCTGGTTTGGACATAAGGCAACTTTAGTTGCTTGTCACACTGACTGGCAGCCTGAATCATTTAGTACTGAATTGTGATTAATCATATTACTCTACCCTTTACTGGGAACATTGCCAGCAAGGATGAGGAAAAGGCAGAGGTACTTAATGCCTTCTTTGCCTCAGTCTTTAATAGACAGACCAATTATCCTCAGGGCAGCCAGACCTCTGAGCTGGATGACAGGAATAGGGAACAGAGTAATCCCCCCGTTATCCAGGAGGAAGCAGTTAGTGATCTGCTGCTCCACC